ACTTCACTTTCTATATGCTGAAGCCTTCCAAACAGATATGTCCAGCGATGTTCTCCCCGCAAGACCTGACTCATTAACTGAACTGTTGCCTAAAATCTCATTTTCTAGTTGTTCTAGTTGTGTCTAGTTGTTCTCTCAAGTTTAATGTGTCCAAAACAAATTTCTGGGTACCAAAATCCCCCTCCAGACAACCAGTTCTAAAGTGCTTCTCCACCATCTGCCCCAACGACCCTCCACCCTCTTGCCCAAGCAAAGACGCCATCTTTCATTTTCCTCTTTTTTTCATAAAACACACAATCAGGTGAGTTTTGTTGACTCTACCTCCAAAATACATCTTGAATCTAGCCATTTTTTACCTTCTTCACTATTGTGCTAACAGAAGTCAAATTTCTCTCACCTCTTCTATAGCAGAAGCCCTTTAACACATCTCTGGGCTTCTAAGATCTGCCAGTTTTTCACAATAAACCCTGATGATTTAAAAAGTATCAGTCAGATCAAATTAGTTCTCTACTAATAATCCCTCTGTTTTCCTTAAAATTAGAACAAAGTTCAAAATGATTATCATGCTTACAAAATCCTATATAATCTGACTTTTGCTCCTTTTCCAGCAAACCTGTAAAGTTTACATTTATTCACAACATTCTGTCCATATTGGCTGCAGTAGATGAGAATGTTTTTCTTAATTCCTCACTCCCTCCTTCTGTCAAGTGACCTTGCAATGCATGGAAATGGGTCAAGCATCTCCCTCATCCATTGGATTTGGACTTGGCCATATGACTTTGGTTTTGATGCTTGTGAAAGTTTAAAATGTGCTTGCAAGCTTTGGACTGGCCTTTCTGAGTCCTAAGACCCACCATGAGGAGGGCATGCACTAGGGACCCTCAGCCTCCTTGGCCTGGGCTCCAGAGGGACTTTGAAACTTGACCTGAATTCTGGCACCAAGCTCAGCTCACCCACAAGCCTAAATTAAAGTGGCCCTTACAGACCTGCAGACTTGTGAGCAAAACAAGAAAGAAATACATTGAGTTTGGGATAATTTGTTACATAACATTATCAGAGCAATAGCTGACTGCTACACTGGCCCCCTTCCGGGCCTTGGAATATGCCAAGCTCATTCCAGTCTTAGGGACTTTAGATTTTCTCTTTCCTCTGTCTGGAATATTCTTTCCATCAACTCTCACATGGCTATATCTCTTCAGAGTTCAAATCTCAGCACAAATGTTGCATCCACAGAAACACCTTCTCCGATCACTCCAGCCATAGTAGCCAGTCACAGAAATCACCTCCTATACACCATTATCTTGCTTTATTTTCTACATAGCATTTTTTCACTATTTGAACTTATTTATTTGTATGTGAATGTGCTTGTTGTCTGTCTCTACTCATGAATGATTCCACCTCCGTAAAAGCAGAGACTTGGTACCTTATTCACTGTAGTAGTTCTACAGCTTGGAACAGTGTTGAATTCCTGCTGATGTGAGTGCTGGACCATCCTGGAAATTTGTGCAGCTGGGCTGCAACTACCAGTTATAAGACCATTGGCTATTATCCTAGTTTTCACAACCCTCAAGACCACAAGGCTGAAGTCACGAAGACTTTTCCAATCACACCCTAAGTGCCCACTTACAGCTGGGAAATGGGGAGAGTCTGTCCAATAGTGAAAACCCTTGGAGTTTTGTAGAGAAAGGTGACACATATGTGAAAACTGCTTATATCAGGGAATTAATTTATGCACACGTTTCCACTTTAAACAAATTATGAACTCTATTAAAACTTTTTTTTTTTCAAGAAAGTCACACTGAATTCCAGGAAAGTTTTATATTATCCATAGTTGAGAGAGAAATATTCCTTTGTTATTTTGCATCTTTTCTACATGACATAAGATTTTGGCTTTAAATACAGACTGAGTTTTGATAAAGACATTGAAAATACTATTTCTTCATGTTGAGTAAATGTATATTATTCATATATACAATAGTGTATTTAGATATGATGGAAAGTGAATAGAGTGACATTTTCAGGGGCAAGTAGTATGGAAAATTTTTTTGTGTGTATGTATATTTTCTGCATAATTTAAAATTTCTCATTTAAGCATCTGTGTATTTTAATACTGTTTTTAACTATTAAGGATGGAAATATTATCTATTTTTTTCTTCCTTCTTAAATGAACAAAATGTGTTATCTCTTAGGTATGCAGTTGGCTTTAAGTAACAGTTTTTATCCTTCCATTACAGGGACTTTGGAAGTAGGAAGTTGCTGGCGTTGCCTCAGGGGCTCTGTATCTTCAGGACTCCAGGTCACCATCCTTACAATTCTCCTGGCATTTCCCTGAAGTTCACAAGATGCTGCCACAGTTTCAAAAAACAGTGGAGTTGAAGGTAGGAAGAAGAGGGAAGACATAGTGGCAGAACTATCTCTGGATTTTATTTCAATAGCAAAAATCTATTCCAGGTGCTCCTAGTGAATTTTGCTTACACTTCCTTGGCCAAGACAGGGCCATATGGCCATTCTTAACTACTGGGGCTTTTGGGAAAACAAGTATTTAACTTTTGACCTAAAGAGAAGAGGAAGGCGAGGGAGAAGGGCAGATGTGGGTTGGGTGAGCCCCCCAAAGTGTATGACATGTAGTGGTTATGTGTATTAGTAACAATAAAGTGTTATCTTCAGGGGCTATTCAAGAATGTTAAGCTACATGCATGTTCACCAATATCAGTGCTTCCCCTCCCCCAGTGTGGGGTGTTGCTAGGGACAGCAGGCCAGTCAGAGACTACATTTTCTAGACTCCTTTGTGGCCAGATGAAGCCACTGAACTTGTTCTCATCAGTGGAATGTGAGCAGATGTGATGGGATATGACTTTCCACTTACCTTTTGTGCCTTAAGCCAGCTGCATGTAGATGATGTTGTGGTTGGTGGGGCTATAAGAGCAGAAGCCTGGATACCTGAATCACCATGTGGAGCATAATCTCCAGTGGACTAGTTACATGTGCTTAGATTGCTTTATGAGTGAGAAATAAATTTCTATGGTATTAAGCCAAGTCACTAAAATGTGGAGGTTTATTTACTACAGGTGCTAATGTTACCTTATTTAAGACAATAACCTATGATTATATCACCCTGGATTTTTTATTGGTTTCTTGTTTCTGTTTTCCTTATTCAGTTTTTCCATCTTCCATTTAGAGATTTTTCTCATTACCCTACTTTTAAGGAGCCGTAACTTTTTGTAGTTTCTCAAATATGTTGAGCAATACTCTTTCTAATGCCTTGATTCTATTTTGCTGTGTTCTAAGAAATCAGATAATTAAATATGTTAGGACTCCGAATGACTGCTATAAGACTCTGAGCTAAGCACATGAACTGGTTTGGGCTACTGTGGGGTCTCGTGTGACTTACTTCCTGATATATAGGATGGTTGCCTGATAAAGGACAAAGCAATATGAAGTTGCATGCTAAATGTACAGTCAAGGGTGAAGTGCAATGGTTCAGTGGAGTATGTGAATATTGTAATATTTTGAATTAGAACCAATTCAATATATTAGAATTAGAGCTACTTTGTTTCCCAGAGCTGTTAAGGGAATTTTTGTGAGCAGAGAGAGTTTCGAGAGTCCTATATAAAGTGCCCATCCTATTAAGCTATCTGTTTACTTTATAATGATTAAAATATCTAAATTATTTATCTAAAATATCCAGCCATTAATCATCATGGCTATGATGAAGATTCATGTGGCATAAATGAATACTTGTCTTGAAATCTAATTAAATTTAGGAGATTTCAAAAGACGCTTCACTCTTTTTAAGTTAAATACATAGTATCTCCACTGAAAACCAGGCTTCGTCCAAAACTAGGGTGGCAAGTGATGGCACAAAATTGGTGGCAGAAAGTAGTGAGAATTATCATAGGCTTTGCAAATAGATCTCAGTTCCAATCGTGCTGTCATCATTATAAGATTTACTAGAAGCACTGCCTGATTAAGTTATGAACATTAAGCGAAACATGCAAAACACTTAATTCAAAACAGCACAGTTGCAATAATAAAATAAAATTAATGCGTGTTCTTTGTTTTTCTTTTCTAATATTACAGATTATGTAATAATATATTAAATGTTCTGGGGTGGGCATAATCACTTTTACCCTCATTTTCTATCTGAAACAAATATTTGTCTTGCCAAGAATCCAACTTTATATTTTGGTAATAACTTTATATTAATTAAAAAACAGTACTTCCGCTTTTGGATAATACAGGCATTTCAACACAAATCTATTTCAGAACTGAGTTTTAAAATATTTTCAGTGATTGTGGCTTCTTGAAAAAGGCAGGGAGAGAGAGTGGAACAATATTTAAATCATTTTATCTCTTCGTTCAACAATCATTCCTTCTGCAGGTTTTTACTGAGTGAGTACATTGTGTTAGGAACTATGCTAGTTATTCAGAACCCATTGGTGAAAAACCCACCATCCTTTTCTCAAGAGGCTTAAAAGGTGGGGTTTCAGTTTGGCAGCTAGGTAAAAAGATTGGAATTTCTTGCTAAAATCATATATGGGTACAATATCTTACTTTTGAAATGCAAAACACATATACATGTGAATGCACCTTTATTTTAAGCAGAAGTAGTGCTTTTCTTTCTTTTCTTCCCCAAGATTTTACAGTGACTATGACAACATGTATTTATAGTTTATAATCAGAAGGATGTTAAAAATCAAGTTATTTTTTTCTATTTTTGTTTTATACTGGAATTTCTTAAACTGGATTGTCTCTGTTCCCTTTTACGGCAGGCAATAGAACCTTGAAAATCTTTAGAGACTTTAATTTCAAAGGAGATATATGTGGTCAGTCTCTACAATTTACTTTTCACTGTTACCTTTGCTTTGATGTTAAAGGTCCTGGAAGGTGACTCAACCAAAAGGGGAGACAGTGACTCCAAGTTGAATAATGGCCAGGTCAAGAGAAGTAGGGGAGTGGGGAGGAGAGGGCCTGAGAACCTGAAGCCATGTGGCACTTACCACGTAGGTGACTTTAGACATTTGAACTGTTGGAGCTTCAGTTTCTTCTCTGATCACTTTCCTGATTTGTAGACGTCAAAAGAGCGATTGAGAGGATCAGGGAGATAAAAGCCTATAAAGAAGCAAGTTGTCAACTCAATACCAAATATCAAGATGAGCGTCCATCGTTCCACTACTTTACAGTGGGTTAATCTTCAACTGAGTCTCCAAAGAATGATCTGATCCAGGGTTAGATCCAGGGCAAGTCCCTACATGGTGATGGAAAATCACAAGGACCAGGTGAGCCGAGACCCACTTTGGATGAAGATAATATAGACATCTGTTCATTTCTAGCTTGAGTTTATATTTTCAGGTGGAGTTTCTGAAAACCCATTTAACTCTTCCACATTTTTGACACCCTTATTTCCTATACAGGGCCCGTAACACAAGTTTTTAATTTAACTCAACAGATATGGGAAACATATTATTGGCCAGGCAGTGTGCTAAATTATATATATGAAAAGATGAATTGAAATACAGCTCTTAATCTCTTTGAGCTGGGACAGTTGAAGTGTTATCGGTACAACACAAAACTATTTAATCCTGTGCTTGAAAATAGATGAATTCATTATTTTTCTTTCAATATATGATCTCTCCGGAACAATAAATCTAGATTGCTAAATTTGGAAACATGATATTTTAGCTTATCTTTAAGAAAGAAGATTGTATTAAGTTAAAGGAAATTACCTAAATAGAATCTACAGAAGGTCGTCACTGACAATTTCTGCATGTGGTCGCAAGTCTTTTAAGAAAAAGGTAATTACAAAATTCCTGGATCTCCATTCAGGTATCATAAATGCTTATATATATATATATATATATATATATATATATATATATACATATATACATATATGTATCACTGTATAAGTTTAACTTAAAACATCTAACACGTAGAAGGAGAAATCGCGCTGTGTGCTTGCTTCCGTACAAAGTAATTTGTGCAGTGAATGCCCCGGTCTTCACTAAGATGCAATGTTATAAAAATCTAGGTATTTACATGGAAAGGGAATAAAACATTAAGAAGAATTTCCTTTTTCCATTTAAAGGAGGGAACACCAAAGGGCCATTTTAAGACTCTAGAAGGGCCATATAAAATCTCCAAAAGAAGTTGTAATGTATTAAACAAAGGTTAACACCAACCACAAGAAGAAGAAGAAGAAAAAAGAAAACAACATAGAAACGGGGAGAAAATACACTTCCTGGCTCGGAAGCTCTTAAAACTTCTGAGCCAGGAAACCTTCCGCACCGGGGCCGGGAATCTCTTTGGCTCTGCAGTGACTCCCTGCTAAGCTCCCCTCAAGTTTTCCCTCCCTCGCGTCTCCATTCCCCGCCTCATTCCCAAACGTGGGAGCCGCAGGAGGATACCAGCACGCCTACCTGGAGTTGTCAGACAGAATCAGCCTCTGATGCGTGTTGATTTTAAATGCCACCACACCTAAAATAGGCCATATCTGCAGGCAAACCCAAGGGATTTCAAACGACGCCCGGAAGCTCAACTTACTAACTAGGGGCTCAACCGGTAAAAGAACAATAGTAAAATAGAGCCAAGAGCGTGTTCCTTCGCTCGAAGCGATTCGCTGGTGGCGCGCAGGGCCTGCGCGGAGCCTGAGGCTGGAAGCCGGAGCCCCGAAAAGGCGCGCTGCCCCTTTAAAAGGCCGCGCATCTCCGGGCCGGCCTTCCTCCCCGGGGCTCCAGCTGTGATTGACGCTGGGCGGCGAGAGGAGGCGCCTGGCGCTAACAAAAGTCCGGCCCTTGGGCGAGCGGCGCCGGGCCGCGAGTCTCTGCTCGCTCCGGCCACCCGCAACAAGTGGCCGCCGCGCCCTCCCCGGGGAAGCCGCGGGTGCGCAGGGGCGCCCGGAGGAAGCGGCGGAGCCCGGGAGCCCCGGCCGCCCGCGCGGCTCAGCGTCCACCGCAGGGGGATCGGGGCGGGCGGATGGGGACGCGGCGGCGGCGGCGCGGCGAGCCTCTGGGCGGCCCCGGGGCGCGGGCTCTCCGCGGCGCTGCGCCCGCCGGCCCCGAACGCGGATTTTAAGGGCAGCGGCCGCCCCCCGGCCCCACCCGGCGCAGTCGGGGGTGCCAGGAGGGGACGGAGCGCCCCCTCCCACCGGAGTGCGGGGGCCGCCCCCGCCCGGAGATCGGCCCCGGAGCGTGGGGTATGCGCAGCTAAAGGTCCCGTCGGGCGGGCTTTCCTCTGGCGGAGCGCGCAGGCGGTGCGCCCCACCTATGGAGTGTCCAGGGAGACGGCGGGCATGACGGCGGCAGGATGGGCGCGAACAATGGCAAACAGTACGGCAGTGAGGGTGAGTGGGCCGCCAGTCTTCACAACTCCCCAGTCGCGCCCCCCTCCCTTCCCCTCGCCCTCCCGTCTGGGAAGGAAGATTCTCGCACGCTGCCGGGGCGCATCCCCATTTGGCACCCTGTCTGGGCCGTCACCTTCCCTTTTGGCTCTGAGTACTTCGGCGCCCCGAGGATGCTTTCCCACCGCGGGGGTCTCTCTAAGCAACTTCCCAGGTTGCCTTTGGGACGGCTCGAGTTGCATTTCTGTCTGTTTCTGAAACCATGTGCCTCAGTTTCCCTTCCCTGGGCATCTGGGGTTTCGGATGATGGTTTGGCAGAGGGCGGAAGACGTTTTGGAAAAACAACGAAGTGAAAATTTTCCCAGGCCTTTGTGCACCATTCCCCGGGACTCTCCTGTAGCAGGAAGAACTTCTGGAAGAAGTTAAGTTTCCATTCTCTGCTCACTGCCCCCGAGCTGACAGCTTCGTAAAACTGACCACCTAGGGGCCGTGTGAGGCGGGGAGTGGCGGGGGGCTTTGTCTGGGCTCTCTCGGGGCTCGAGACGGGCAGAGGACCATCTGTTACGTGGGGCTGGAAATTGCACAGAAATATTGCCTGTCAAGTGGGAACTTGGAAGTTGGGGAAACTTTAAACTCCACCTACTCCTAAAAGGATGATGGATATGTGGGTTGGCTTCTCCCTCGCCCCTCCCCTCCCTTTGCATAGTACCGTAGTGTTGTAACCCGGTTGATTAACTGCACGCCCCTCATATGCATACGGCAAAGGCATTTCCCGCAGTTCAGTAGTTAGGAAGGTTTGTCTTTTCGTGAACTTGGCTGGAGGGGAGTGGAAGAGACAGGGTCGGTTTTACAGCCCGCCCCCAGAGGACCGGCGGTTAGAAACGGGGTCCAGCGCCTTGAAGACTGGTAGGAATGCAGAATGGCTCTTCAGCCTGTGGTGTTAGGGAAACTCCTATCATCCTCTTCAAAACTTTGAGCTGTGGCCACAGAATGTGGATGCCTCTCCCCATGTTTGCGTCTGTGTTCCTTCTCAGCAGCTTTGTGGAATTACAGCAGAAACCGACCCTAGAAAAGCGTATCCACAAGAACCTTTTGTTTAAATCATTCTTTTCCAGAGCATCATGTTTTGAATTCCACATATATATATGAAATATATATATTTCCTTATTCTGGGCAGTTATGTGAAAGAGATTTTTTTTACTGACAGTTTCTTTTTTAAAAAGTTCAAAGGTGGTCTTTTTAGAGAGCAACCGTGAAATTATGCCAAAAAAGATTATTGGAGAATCTTGGCCACCCCCCAAAACTTCTTGAAGTTAATGTTTTAAAAAATTTTGGAAAAATGAAAGATTAAGCCTCCTTACTCTGAGTTATTAAAGAAGCTTTCGGGGAGTGAAGTGTGTGCCTGTCAGTTCTGGGTGTGCATACGTTATGCTCTTTGAACACTGGTGGGGGGAATGGGCACCCCAAGAGGAACACAGGGTCACTGCTCTGTGTTCTTCAACAAAACCACTCACACTCTTCCTATTCCTATGCAACTTGTTCTTAGATCCCAGCGTTCTTGCATTGTACAGTGTGCGGTGTATGACTACTTCCTGTCTGAACAGTGGAGTTTTCAACCCTTGGGAGAGAAAAGGAGAGACAGAGAACTAATGTTCTCCAGCTGTTATCCGTAAATGCTACCTCTGCATTTTCACTTCAGCTGAAGTGAGATTTTACTGGGATCTGATTTAGATACACTGTGGACTTCTTATAGGAAAAATCTCTTGGGCTCAGCTGATTCAAGGGGACCAAAAGGAAGCTTTGGGAGGTAACTGAGTTTTGGCTTGAGGGACACGTTGTGTTCAGCGTTCATCAACTCTCTTCAAGTGCATCGCCATTCCTCTGTGATAGGTGTGGGGGAAAATAGAGAAATCGAATAACAAGAGCTTTTCAAAAATCTTTTCTCCCCCCAGTTACACCGGGCCTCTCCTAATATATGTCATTATAATATATGTAATGTATTATATGGTTATAATATATGTAGTTGGGTATGGTCAGCTTTATTACATGGTGCTATTGGATGGTAAAATCTATGCAGATAAGCCTTTTGGAATTTGGTGTGTTAGTGCCACACCAAATCCTTATCTAAATCTTTCTTATCTAAAATGTCAACTTTCAAAGAAAGTGAAAGCAACCCCTAGACATCGTATTTCTATTATCAAAGCAGACTGAGAATTAAGAGAGTTTCATAGATTTAGAGCAATTTAGGTGTGGTGTATTTCAAATTATCAACAAATGCATATCCACAGAATGGCTCAGTGAGAGATCCCCCAACTATAAAACATTGGTGTTTGTGTATACTTAAAAAAACTGTAACTTCAGTATATTTTACTTACTAGTGGAGCTGACACCATGTAAATGGCCCTGAAATTTTACAGATATTGTTGTGAATTATTAGAACTTTCAAAACTTCAGTATTTCATCTGTAATCTCACTTTCTCCTGCTCCTGGAAAATATCTTTTTTATTAAAAGAAAAAATTCCCAAGACTTACCTTAGCAGGTGCAATGGGACAGAGGCTTCCTACTTCTGCATCATTCCAGGCCCCGAAGCAGCAGTATCACCTGGGAGCTTGTCAGAAACTGAATCTGAACCACTTATCACATGCGTGTTAAAAGCTCCAGGCAGTTCTGATATGGGATGCAAAGCACTGATTTGAGAGTCTAGAAATTTGATTCCAGCTTCAGCTTAGCTACTGTGACCTTGCTTAGTTGTCCCCAAATCTTAAGGTCTTTCTTCTATAGAGTGAGGAGAGAATTTTTTTTTTTTATTGGCTTTATTTGTCATGCTCATCCTTGTGCATGCAGTCCTTCATTTTAGTTTGCTCTTATAATGCCTGAATGGACCACTTAACAGAGATTCGCCTTGGGAAGACATGTTATAATAAATAGGGAAGTTAAGGCTATTACTGCTCTGAAATCAGTAGATGCCCCAATCCCTTTGTTATCCCCTTTACCCTCATCTCTATCTTCCTTACTTATTCCCACTTCCTCTCTTAACTCAATCAGTCTCTGCTTTTTTCTGCTGAGATTAAAGTTATGTGTTTATCAATATTGGGTGTTTCCAGTGTTTTGTTTTCCTAAATACTTAGTGAACGTTCAGGTTAATGATTTAGTTCTCAGCCTTTAGGCAGACTTGGATTTTGCTCCAGGAAAAAGTTGCCACACCACTGCCGATGTTCAGCTTTCTAGAAATATAAGCGCATGTCTGTATGATTAGTATGTTCCGGTAAACTCTTATTATGGAGGGCTGATTTTTTCTCTTTGTCTTCTTTCATAAAATTTAAGTTACAGCCCATGTGTAGAAATCTGGAGAATAAGCTGAGGTGATTCAAAGCCATTAGAACCATTAGCTTTGACTCCAGTTAAACTAAATAAACAAATCTCTCTGTTCAAGTAGTGAGAGAGGAGCTGCTTTTCCTGCCTTTTAAGGTTTCCAGCCTCACCCTCACTTACTCAGTGGTTTCGTTGTTATGTTTATTCTACTCCAGCAGGGCTGAGTCTGTCGTCCTTACACTGTTAACAGCTCCTTTGTAAAATCCTGCCTGTCGTTGAATTGGAGCTGCTGAGGCCTTGTGATGGGGCTTGACCTTGGTAGCTCTGCTGCTCTATCAACGCCCCGAGTCCCTTTTCACCATCTCAGATCTGTGCTTCTCAGATATGTTGCCTGGGAGCATAAATCATCACCAATCCATCACCACTTCGGGAAGCATATCTTGAAAGAATAATAACGATGGCAAGTAACATTTATTGAATGCTTACTTTGTCCAAGCCTGATCCTGAGCCCTTCATGTACGCTGACTCTTGTTGTTACCGAGTCCAAGCTCACTCTGCTCGCTGCACGACAGGCCAATAAATCGGGAGACGAGGTATTGAGGCAAGGAATGGCAACTTTATTCGGAAAGCCGGGCGTCCAAGAAGATGGCAGACTAGGGTCCCAGAGTACCATCTTATGGGGTCTGTATGCTAGTTTCTTTTATAGAACAGAGAAGGGGAGGAGGCGAGGAAGTAAAATAAAAAGGCTGTAAGTCTTGCAAAACACCTCCTGGTTTGGCCAGCCTCAGGGAGGGGATGTGTTACTTTCTTCTTTCTTGCAGCAGTCCACAGGTGGGCAGAATGTTTCCCTGTGAACTGAACAAAGGCACTTTAGTTTAACA